AATTTCAATTCATTATCCTAGCTCCACAAAATTTAATCTTCTTTATGTGTTACATATGCAAAAACGTTTCACACCTAGTAAATCACACAAAATAAAGGGGGAGTTTAATTTACAGAACCAAACCGATTTTTAAAAATTCGATTTTGAAAGTTCAAATTGTAAAAACCCAACGCTTGAGTAGCCGCATCATACGCTCGCTACACTTGGTATGGCGGTGATATAATCCCGAGCTTCACTAGAGTTTGGCTTCACAACACTTAAGAGTACAAAATAAAGTCGTAGCCTCTACAAAATAATTCTCCACATCACATACTAAAAGCCTAGCAGTTAGAGCCTGTGTTGTTGATCTTGGAGATCACTTGAAGTTGTGTTGTTGTTCTTGGAGATCACCTGAATCACCTTCCGGCCATTCCAGGAACTTATAATGCAGAAGCGATGAAGGTAGATATGTCTGAGCTGCCGCAGAGGAAGGGTCATTGGGAGGATATATATACTCTTTTCCATACCCAAGTTCCTTCATTAACTTGGTCGGAGCGTTCCTCAGGTGTAGAGGCACCCCTTCATTCTGTCCAACCGACTCCTTAACGACCTTCCGTGCAGCTTCTATTGCTCGGTAAACAGCAACGGATTTAGGAGCCAGAGCCAAGTAAGCGGCGCACTGGGCAAGAGCGACGTTGCATTCAGGCATACCCAAGAAATGTGAAGCTTGATAGCACGCAACCGCCTGGTTAAGAGCTGAAGGGTCGGCAAGCCCAATGTCCTCGCTTGCAAACCTTATAAGCCTCCTCGCAATGTAAAGCGGCTCTTCCCCACCCTCGAGCATTCTAGCCAGCCAGTAGATAGCAGCATTAGCATCTCCTCCGCGCATTGACTTGTGAAGTGCGCTTATGAGGTTGTAATGTTGTTCGCCTGCCTTGTCGTAGGCCAAATGTTTGCACTGGAGAGCCTCTTTTGCATCGTCAAGGGACACAACAACCCCAGATCCGGGTCGAGCAGTAGCCATGGTAGCTGAGTTTTCTAGGGCAGTCAATGCGACGCGTGCATCACCATCGCAGTTGTGAGCTAAAAACTCAAGGACAGAATCGCCAACCTCAAGGATATTAGAGAAACCCCTATGGAGAGCTCGTTCGAGAAGGGTGTGAACATGATTGGGTTTCAAGGGATTGAGAGTAAGAAGTGTACAGCGAGAGAGCAAAGGAGTGATGAGATGGAAAGAAGGGTTCTCAGTGGTGGCTCCAATGAAGAGGATAGTACCATCCTCAATGAGGGGCAAGAAGGAGTCTTGCTGTGACTTGTTAAAACGATGAACCTCATCCATGAAAAGCACAGTCCTCTTTCGACCATCAAGATTAAGCTTTTTGGCACTCTCAACGGCATCTCTAACATCCTTAACACCGCTACTAACAGCAGACAAGGAGAGGAAGCGATACAGAGACGGGTCCTTACAGGAATTGATGAGAGACTTGGCGATTGAGGTCTTGCCGGTCCCAGGTGGTCCCCAGAAGATAACGGAAGGGATGCGATTGGATTCGGCGGCGGAGCGGAGGAGAGAAGTGGGGGAGAGGAGATGGTCTTGACCTACAACGTCGTCGAGAGTGAGAGGACGCATACGCTCCGACAACGGCCGGTGGCTGGATGATGACGATGAGGAGAGCTTGGGGCGCTTGGGGTTTAGGGTTTCGGCATTGGGGCGGAGGAAGCGATCGAGTTTGGGCTGCGACGTGGCGGAGGTTATGGTTTGGCGGGAGAGAATCCAATCAGTGGCTTTCTGGATCGAATCTCCGCCGGTGGCCGTCAAAGCTTGGGCGGCTAAGTCGGACGGGAAACCCATGCTCACCAGCTCCTCCATCTGACAAACTCCAAACCAAATGAGTTTGAACTTGTTTTCATTAAATTTGTTAGTAAATAAATTAATAATCATTTCTATCTTAAACCGGTCAAGAGTGAAGCCATCGAGATGAGAGGCCAAACACTTCTCCAAGTTTATTTACAAATCAAGACACTAATCTCTTCGTTGTGAGGTTTACGAATCCTTTTATTATTATTACCTGTGTTCTAATGTCATGGAAGAAATGAGACTCTGAGCATATAACCTATACGCACCTATGCTTGACAAGCTTTTCTTTACATGTAAAGGATTTTGTACAGAAAAGAAAACAAGTTAAAAATCATCAGCCCGCTGAATCTCGCCCATAAGCATGCGATTGCTTGTGACTTTGAAACCGAGAAGTGCCGGATCAATCTGCCTCCCTTTCTTCCCTTTCTTCTTCCCACCACCTTTGCTTGCTTCGGTTGGATCAGATGACTCTGCCACCTTCTTCATGCTACTACTCTTCTTCAACATCTCACTGAACGATGATGCTTCTGACCCTGACCCTTTGTTTCCTGCTTCTCCTGATTCCCGCCTTCCACCTCCTGATAATATTGTATTCAGTCTGTCTTTCTTTTCCATGAATAATGCATTTGGAAAAAAACTAAAAGGATCCTTGAGATAGATACCTTCAATTCCACTATAAGAAGTCGCTGTCCTATTAGCTGTGTCTGACATATGCTCGAGCAATCCTTCATGTGATGATGACGAATGGGATGAGGGGGGCCTTCTTAACAAAACTGAATCTTGCCCATGTGATGGAACTACCAGCCTACAAACACTCGCATCAAAATTCTATCAGCATGAATATAAGCAGTACACGAGCTCAGGGTGTTTTAGTTATCTAAACTACTGGTGATAAACATCATAATACAAACTTACCTATCCTTCCTTCTATCTTCCCCAACCAGGTATGGGTCTGCAGCAGTAGGATTTCGGGATAAACCTTCATAAGAACAAAGCAAAATCAACTTTCCAAACCATGAATTCAGGGAAAGCAAAATCTTGAAAGATACATACCAGAGATATTGAAAGAATGCTGTTGGCCAAGCGTAACAACAGGAAGCTCGCCTTGAACCAAGGATTCCAATACTGCTTGCTTGCCCATCCTGTCTTGGGCTTCAGATGACATCCTTCCCATTCCCTCATTTTTAGGTGGCACATTGTTCCAAGTTTTTATGTCATTTGCGTCTTTGTTACTAGAAAACATATTACTTAAGGCCTGAGTTTCATTCTGAGTTGACTGCCCACCATCGATATTTCCAGAATGCAAGGAACTACTACGGTTCAATGATCTCATATAGTTCCCATCTCCCGGTAATATGTTGACCTGTTCATCAGAGAATGCTTGAGCTCCAAAGGCAGATGAAGCGTTTAGAAGACCACCACGGTCTGAAGTGCGGCTAAAGCCTGACCCTGGGATAAGGCCTGAAGGAGCTATCCTGTCATAAGATTCCCCACGTTTCATGTTTGGTGCCTCAGCAGATTGGTGGCCGGGTCTCTGGTGGAGCAAGTCCATAAAAAGCTGTTTTGACTTGTCTTCTGTAGATCCATCTACCATCCATGAGCCGGAGCCTTCACTCAGTCTCCTGATTCCTGGCCTCATTTTATGATGCTCAGCATCCATATTTGATCTATGAAATTGAGATTCAACCCAGTCACCAGCTAGCTGTGCATCGGCTCCGGACCAGCGTCCTTCCGTTGGTTCCAATTGTGAAAAATGTGGTTCACCAAACGGCATACGGGGAGTCTGATGATTGAAACCCGGAGTGGAATTTCCCAATCTGCCAGAAGATTGCATGTGGGCAGTAGCATCCCGCAACTCCAGACCCTGAGAGAGTCCAGGACCATTTAAAGCATCCAGATTCAGCCCCAATGRACTTACAGGTAAGGATGCTGATCGCTCGAATAATTCTTGTCGAAGTTCTTGCTGATATGAACGGTTCAGCTCAAGTTGAGCCAACTGATCATCGAAGGATGGCCTCTGCTGTGGTCCAAATCCCGCAGAAGAGCGCGAACGGTGGATCCCAAGATGAGCTCTTAGAAGCTGACCATTATGCTCAGAAGGCCACAGAGGGTCAGTATGTCTCTGTTCCTCCAATAGTGTATTGTGCCTCATTCCATTTGCRAATTGCATCAGCTGCTCTTGCTGTTGCAGCTGATACTCCAAAGACCGGATTGATTCAGCTTGCAGTTMTCCATGTTGAGATTGCATTTGTCCATATTGAGATTGCATTTGTCCATGTTGAGATTGCATTTGTGTTGAAAGTAGCTGTTCAAGTAGCTCCCTTGGATGGCCTTCATGTGGCAACTGCCCAAAATTTCCTGCAGCAAGTTGCTCAATGTATGATGCGAAACCTTGTGGAGGATGGCCAGAAATTCTCTGCAATTCATTCATTAGCTGATGTTCTAATAAAATCTGATCAACATTGTTTGATCGAGGGAAGTCATGCGACTGCCCAAACCTTGAATCAGGAGTCTGTCCTTGTAGTATCTGTTGAAAATGAAATTGTCGAGCATGGGA